CTCTACTTAGGGATGGAAACATGATCTGTAACAAATTTAACACATTTGCCTGAAATCACTGGAAAATTTAAAGTCACAGACAGGAATAAGCATCAGAGCTTTGCCGGTTTCAGGGCCACGAAAGTGGCTCCTGTAGTCGTGACTATAAGGAAGGCAGGGGAGTCGAGTAGATCCCGGTCTGCATCTCTCCTTTGTCCTTCATCAGAAAGTTACTAACCTCTGAATTTCGGCTCCCTATGTATTGAGTTGGAAATGCAAACAGTAGCCACATATCAGGCCACCATGAGGATTGCAGGAGAGGTATAGTTAAAGCACTCGGTAAAGTATCTAACATATATTAAGTAAGGTTAAATATTTGGAGTTTTAATTATGATTACTATCATAACTGATAATCTAGTTCCATTCTCAAGTCATAGGCTAGATAATGAAATTAACTTTCTTTTCTAATGCTGCTATAAGAAATCATCATACATTTAGTGGCTTATAACCAACATAAATTTTTTTTTAATAATTCTGAAACTCAGAAATCCAAACTCAGCCTGCCTGGGCTAAAGTCAAGGTGTCTATCGGACTGGTTCCTTTTGGAGGCTCTAGAAGAGACTCCATTTCCTTGCCTGTTCTAGCATCTGGAAGTCAGATGCATTTCTTGGTCGGTGGTCCAATCCCATCTTGAAAGTCTCAGGCGTAGCATCTTTCAACCCTGTCCCTGTTCTCCGCCTCTCTCTCCTATTGTTATGTCACTCTCTGTCTTTGGCCTCTTCCATTCCTCTTATAAGGACCTTTGTGATCATACTGGACCCATCTAAATAAACCAGGATAATTTCTCCATCTTAAAAATCTTTGAAATCTCTTTTGCAAGGTAATTTCATTGTTTCTACTTAAAATCTTCAAGTGGCTATCTGTCGGCTTCCACAAACTAAGACTCAAGTGTAAAGTGACATTCACAAAGTCACATAACTAGTTGTGGGCCCTGTGTCTAAAAGCTCTAAGTGTTCTGATCATGACTTTAATTAGAGACCTATTTTTTTTAATTTGAAAAACAGGGGCATAGACTCTTATTTGCTATTCCTTTTCAATGAGCATAGGCAATACAAGAATATAATTTTATTATAGAGTAAAATATGGAAGTTGCCTTTGCCATATTTTCCCCTCAGTTTCATGGTCAGCCTTCTAATATCATTCTCTATATTTGTATCACACTTCCATTTTATAGAAACATATATAAATGTTCATTTATTGTTTTGTCTTTATATTTTTACAAAAATAGGAGCTTATCATAAGCATTACTGTTCCTCTTTCTTTCTTCCTTACCTTGCTTACTAATGTCATACTTAATAGAGAATAAAGGATCTTGCTGAGTAGATGATCATATTTTCAACTTCAGATTTTAGGTAGACATTTCTATCCCACCTGTGTGCTATTACCACAATACCATGATAAGCAGATGTCTTCTAACACAAGAGAATGTATTTAATATATTCACAAATTTCCAGATGTAGCAATGTGTGTGTGTTGTATATGTGTGTGAGAGTGAGAGTTTTAATTCTAAAGTGTAAAGTTTTCAAAGTCTGCCTATTTTACTGTACCACCAATTAAGTGTGAGAGTACCGCTCTCACCATGCTAAGACTGGTATTCTTAATTTTCTCCAAGCTGGACAGAAGAAAAAATGATACTCGATTCTGTCTTAAGTTGTTGTTGCTCTGATTAAAGCTGTAAACACTTTAAATGATTCTTTAGTGGTCTGATACAAACACCGTCACATACAGTGTACAATGAAACCCTCCTAAGCTAACTGGCTAAACAGGAAGTCACACAGCAAAATGTTCCAGTATTCCCCTCTGACTCCAGAGTAAAGACGCAGGGACAGGTTCTTCTCTAGACAAGCTCTCACTGAAGCATTTATTATTTGCTTTGTGTCTGGCTACTTTCTTTCTATATAATTATTTGGCTCACTATCCATTCTTAAATCAATCTTTATTTTGTTAAACAGAGTTGAGGCAAGTCTGCTCCACGTTGGATCTTAATTGCTGTCACTGCAGTTCTTATTTTTCAATTATTCTGATATTGGTCTGAGTTTCTCATTGATAATTTAAAAGGTAATTAAGCTAGTCTACTATACTAGGCACAATCTATGATGCCTAAGGTTTTACAAATTAGTCTGTTTATACACAAAATAACATCTGGCTGGCACCAATTTATCAATCTGCAGTGGTTCTTCAAGTGATCAATGATCACCTTTAATACAATTGGCATCAAGCTGCTCAAAATAATAACACAACCAGAGATTAATTTGTACTTTCTTAGTGATGGTCAAAATACAGTACAACTTTGTGTCTTTCATCAATATCTCTTTAATGTGGTCACCTACAAGTTTAGTTCATCCATTATGTGAACCTGTGTGCTTATTTTGATTAAGATCATGTTGCCAAGACTCACTTAATGGTAAAGTAGTAAATGGCAGGTAGAGAAGAATTATTTTAGAACTAGAGTTTTCAAACACTTCAGTGAGTTTCTGCTTCTATTATATTGTGAGCATGGCCAGTAATTGAACTTCAGAATAGATAGGAAGAAAATGATGACATTGACATTGAACACTTGTAAACTTCCAATACTCAATAGTGAAAATATTTAGTGGAGAGGGAATATGTATCATGGACTTGATATCTGAATTAAGGTTTGAATGTCAAGGAAAAGAAAATCCAGGTTAGAATTTTGGAAAGATTATTCCAGGAAGAGGGGGCAGCAAGGGAAAAAGTGAGTAAGTCAGGACGAGACATAGAAGCAGGCAGAGGAGCCACGGGCAGGGGTGGGGCAAGAGATGATTGAACCTGTGTTACAGGGGAAACAGCGGAGACTGAAAGGCCAGGAGAGAGTCCAGACGAGGATCAGAGGTGACAGTGACTGCACTTGATCTAGTGAGGGAAAGCACACACTTTAGATGACTCCTGAAATTTTGACTTCAGCAACATCTGATCCGGTGGACAGTGCACCATTTGCAGACATGGGGAATATTAGCCAAGGGGCGGATATGTCCCTGATTTTGAACTTAGAAAAGTGGATCAGAACCTGATATCAAGCGAACATTAATAGTTAAGACCTGCTCTTCATGAGAAGGTCTGGGCTAGAGTTATAAAAGTTTGGAATGATCATTTGAAAGCTGCAGTAAGAGGTGAAATTAAAATGTAAAATTCAGTCGAAGGAGACACTAAAAAGAAATGGAAGTTTATGTTAACTCCGAAGCCATTGCAGGGGTTAAGAGTTCCATTTTAGTAGAAAAAATGAAGGAAAAGAGCAGGTTGAAAATGTGAAAAGAAGTGGCCAAGCAAAAAATAAGCAGAAAAACTTTGAACTGAATACAAGAACAACCATACTGCAGTGTGAGAAAGTGAACATAGCTATTTAATGAGATTTGCACTGGAAAACACCCATTTGGTTTAGCAATTGAGAGATTGATATGATACTGCTAAGAACAACTTTCACAGATCCATGAGAGTAAAATTTTAATTCGAGATTTGAAAAATTGTTGGGAGCTAAACCTGTAGAAGAGTTTGGAGAAAATGCTCCCCAAAATTCAAGAAATGAAGATGAAAACTAGCAGGGTAGCTACAAAGGATGTACAAAGGAAGCTACAAAGGAAGCAAAGAATCTATATTTGAACAGGGGATTCTGGAGTGGACTTTGTATGTGTAGCCACGATCGAATAAAAAGTGTGATACCAGAGAGGAGAGAAACAAGGTTACAGTCTTCTGCAATGGTGACACAGGGTGGGATACAAAGAGCATATGAAAATGTTGCCCTTGCAAGAGCATTTCTTCTTAGAAGGAAGAGGAAGGAGAAGGTGTGAGCACATTCTGGTTAGGTTTGCAGGTTTACTCATGAGACTCTGTGATTTATATCCTTCAATATTCCCGTGGGAGGTGACATGAGCTCATTAAGTGCCAAAAGGGTTAAGGAGGGCAGGAGATTTGAAAGAAACGAAGAGGTGTGAGCTCTTTTTCTCCTGGAATATGAAAGTACTATGACTTCTTAAAACAGTACAGGAAATTCTGAGAACCCATTTAACAGTCACGATCATGAATTTTTAGCGATCCACAACAGGTGAGTTTTAAGTTGTTTGTTTTTTCTTATAGGCTGTCACTGCACAGATACAGATATAAAGAAAGTAAAAGTTTAGGTCTTGGCTAATGGATTTTCCAGGGGTAAAAAGGAAGTATGAAAGGTTTCCATGTTGATGCAAAAGAGTGATAATATTAATACATCTTTCAAATGAAGCTGGGCTAAGAGGGAGGAAGGTTGGGAATAAATGGTGAGGTTAATGGATCTATGGCCTTAAAGAGGCTGAGGTAATGTTTCTATGGGACTCTGAAAAAATGAGCAGTAGCAATGAGCATGTTTGTGTTTTGAGGTGAGACTGTTTCGGGTGATAGCTAGATGCAGAGTGTAACCGTGAGGGAGGAAGCTGACCGCGTTGCTTTAAGCCATGGCTTACAGCAGTGAACAAAATACACAATACCCTCAATTCAATGGATTTTATATTCTGGTGGACAGGGAGATGAGAAACACTATAATAAAGTATCTGGCATGACACATAGCAGGGAATAAGGCCTGACCAAGTCCTTAGTCATGATAAGGAGTTTGCATTTTTCCCATTTTATGGTAAGATATGACCAGAGGATTTGAAAGCGTGCGTGCGTGCGTGTGTGTGTGTGTGTGTGTGTGTGTGTGTGTGTGTGTGTGTGTGTGTGTGTGTGTGTGTGTGTGTGTGTGTGTGTAACATAGTCAGATCTATATTTATCAGTGGGTTATTAGAGCTACTGTCTGAAGAATAGATCTTTTTTAGGCAAGGCAAGACGTCTGCAAAGAATTTTCTGCTGTGGTCCAGGTCAAAGATAAATGCTCTTACTTTCTATGATGGCGATCGCAGTGGAGGTGAGAAACAAGGAGTTCCATCCAAAACTTCTGGAACATAGAATGTAGGAAAGCTCAGGTTCTTGCGTAGCAGTGTTTGAGAGGTGGCTTGATGTCTGACCAGCTGTTCAGCACCAAGAGACACCTGCGTGCTCAACAGTCAGGGCTGGTGAGTCTCTTCGTATGTCCCGTGACACTTACTCATCACTGTAGCTCTATAAAGGAGGTCATCGTGCATTCACTGTGGACGAGTGTTTGTGGGAAGAACTAAAACAAGACACACTGCATTTACACACTCCAAGGGAATGCTGCACTCATCTTCTCTAATTTATCTTTATTTGATTTAATATTATCTTGGAGTTGAATTCTCTCTGGATTGGGAAATTCACAACAGAATATACACATATTTCATTCAATCTCAGAACGTTATATATGGCTTCATTCCATGAGAAGTTGAAGAGGTAAATTTGAGTTCACATAAAACCTCACCAAATATTTTCTACTCAGAGAAAGATACTGGTTTTTTCTCACAGTTCTGTGTTTTTGTGCCTACATTTGTTGATCCTGGCTCTAGACTGCAGAACCTATCAAAGACAGGATAGCAGTAATTGGGGAAAGTAATCTTCATTTGAAATTACTTTCACTTTTGGGCCATTCTTTTGTATTTATCGCATAACATTTTGGCACAAAGCAGTGACTGCCATTGGCTTTCAGCCTTGTTTCCCCAAATTACCAGCCTATTTTCTGGCTGAGCTAAAGAATAATTAAAAGCACCCTGAGATATTACCCCAAAATGGTGTTGATGTGAGTCAAGGGCTAAATAAAGGTGCTGAGAAGTCAGGGTACTGGAAAGTTGAGTGTTCTTGTAAATGTTAAAGTTACTTAAAATTCTGTCACGGGAGGTACAATGAAGAGATTGTCACCAAAGTACTTAAAATATCAATAATAGAAGAGAAGAATGACAAGGAGGTCAGTAAAAGCCAATGATGAAGAGGGAGCAAAGTGTAAAATGCTAATGGCATGGCTCTCAGAGTAGCGGGCTTCCATAAGAGTAAGGGGAGGAGGTAACATGTAGGTGTGAGCTTTTAAGAATGTGTGAAAACAAGTATCTTCTATTTGATGGCTTGTGTTCTCAGGGGACAGCCAGCATTCAGTTAGGGCCGGTGGGAGGAGGGGATTTTTGCAGAAAAGACTAAGGATGAAGAATTAGCTAATCACAGAGTAAGGTGTGCAAGATGCATCCTTTTGATCCTCATTTCCAAGATGAGGCAAACTGAGGCTCCAGAAAAATCATTTCCCAGAGTCACAGCACTTTGGGGTAGCAGCAGAATTGGGTTCCTTACACAATTCTAAAAACCTCATGCTTTTTACAGGAGTGCAGTGCTCTATGTAATGTTAGACCAATGCTATTATTTAACCAGCATTAATCAGCAAAGCACTGCCACAAAGACACTGAACAATGTAATACAGACACAGACTCAAAGCCTCAGTTATGAAAGGTGTCAGTGTGCTGAAGACAAACTGACCATCTCCTGAAGAAATTTGTTCAAGTATTGGTCAGGGGAAACTTTGGACTTTGATAATCTTTAGAACCAACTTTGAACAGGCCCCAGAAAAAATCAGGGAAAAATAGATTTGGTTCTGGAATGCTTGACCACTCCACAAAGTTGTTAAGTGCCATCTACACATTCAGGTGTAAAAGACATTATGTAAATCCATGAAAAACAGTTTTATGTTATCAGCATCTTTTCTGCATCAATTTTGATTTCTCAATTTTGCTTTCCTTGCTCAATGATACAATTATTTGAATGTTAATGTTCATCTGAGTATAGACTCTAGATTTAACCTTTTTTAAAATTCAAACTTTAGTCAAAAGGTGGTTCATAGAGTGGGCAGGGTTACCTTAGCAACCACCACATACAACAGTAAGTAGAAATCCTTATGAACTTTGGGGCAAAGGCTTCCTATGGTTCAGAATATAAGTTATTTTTCAAAACACAACTTTGACCTTGTTCTCTAACTATTATAAGAAAAGAATTTTTTAATATGGAAGTTCCCTTTTAAAATAATCTTTTCCCAAACAGCAGAGCAGAGAAAGCTTCACAAGAAAGAAATATCTGCATGCCAGGATAATGATAAGGCCCCGATTTCCCCAAACAGTAGATGCACCCAGAAGCTCGAGCAGTGGACTAAGTGGAGATTCCCTGCTCAGGGTGAAGGTAGACATTTCCTCATGAAGCAAACAGCCCAATGTTTCTTCCACCCCAGCAGGTGGAAGACGTCTACTTTCTGGAGCCATTGAGTTCAAAATGCTTGGAAGATGGGGGTGAGGTTGAAGAAAAACACTGAGATTAAGCAAAACTCTGTATATGAATCACGAGACTCCCATTCTTCCCTCATCCCTGCTGCAAGAACAGAGATCTTCAAGAATATGCCCCTCCAGTCGCCAAAGCAAGAAAATGGGAGATTATTTTTCACACGAATGGCTCTAGAAGAGAGACACGTCTTACCTTTGAGATGTTCTGACATTTGGGTCTATTTAGGAAAGAAGTGCTTCTGCTAACTCACTTTACAATGCTGTCAATGAATTGAAAGATCCTAGACCTGCACCTGAACCTCACGTAGGGCCTTTAGTGTCTTCTTCAATGGATATTTAAAGGCAAAGACAATAAAATATGTCAAAACCCTCTAAAATCAAGGGCAATGCCCAAATAAAGAGGAGGAAATGACCTGGAACAGGAATAAAATTCAATATATCCCAAACTAGCAAGCTTTATGAAAACCAATATTAAAAATGAATTGATAAGAACAGACAGCACATTTATGAAATGAATATCAGATATGATTTAAAATACTGAACTTAAAATAGCCAATTAAAATATTAATAAAAAGCATTAGAAATTTTTCAAAGTAATTTTCCTGAAATTAGGACAAAAATACAAAGAAAGGGATGTGTTATGGTTTAAATTATGTCCCTCAAAAATTTTGTGTTGTAAACTTCCCCCCTGGATCCATATTTGATAGTATTTGGAGGTGGACATGTGGGAGGTAATTAGGTTTAAGTGAGGTCATAAGGATGGGCCCTCCAGAATGGATTCGTGGCTTTATAAGAAGAAAGATGTAGGCTGATATTCTTGTTTCCTTACCATGCAATGCCTCTCACCATGCTGTGCTACAACAAGAAGGCCTTCAGCAGGTGTGGCTGCCCAACCCTGGACTTTCTGGTCTCCAGCACTGTCAGAAATAAAACTTTATTCTTCCTCATAAGCTTTCAGGCCCAGGTTTTCTGTCATAGAAAGAGAAAATGTAATGACACAGAATAACAAAATGAGGGCTGGGAATTTAGCTCAGTGGTTCTGCTGCCTGACTTGCAAGTACAAGGTCCTGAGTTCGATTCCCGGTACCAAAAGAAAAAAAAAAAGCAAAAAGGAAAAGATAAAAATAAATTATTCATTTTCTCAGAAGGCCCACTGGCATTATAATAGCAGTTCCATAAAGAGAGAATAAAAAGAATAACAATAATAATTCATTTTCGATAAATTAATAAAATAAACCATGTCATAATTGATGGAGGAAAGTTTTCAAATTTTCAAATGTCTAATTTTCTGAGATCAGTGAGTAAAACACTCATCAAATTACAGCATCTAAAGATTTAGAAGAAAAGGGGGAAAGGAGCAGATTTAAAATTCTTCCTGAAATAAAAGAAATAATTCAATTAAATAAATGGTTATAAGAATGACCAATAGTAACCTATTGTGGATAAATCTTAAAAGAATTTTCAAGGATTCAAATCAGGATCAGTTTCTAGTCCTAATCCAGATTTGGATCTTCTCTGTGTTCATTTTTATCAATTGTAACATGCAGATGATAATATTACCTTTTTCACAGTGCTGTTGAGACAATTAAATGCAACAAAACCACAGTTAAAATTAAATGAGACAATGTAGTGTTAACACTCAATTAACATTAGCTATTTTATATGATAATATGATTACTTTCTAACAAACGCTTCTGACCAGAAAGAGTTGTCTAGGGAACTGAAGGTGTGAAATATCATTATTTAAATTACTAAATGAGAAAGGACCTCTTACTAAGTGTGGAATAATAGAGGAGGACTGAAATATTTAATTTAGATATTTGAATACATGCAAATGAAAGCTACGCCATAATAATTAAAATGTATAAATAAAGGAAAATGGAAAATTAAAATATAATTGCAATAATCATGTAGCACAAGGTTATAACATTAATTTATAAAGACCAATTTTAGTTTATAGAAAAATCTTTTCAGTAATAGAAAATGGTCAAAGCATCTGAGCACACAAATCATATGAAAAATTCAAATAAGCAAAAGCCAATAAGTATGTGATACCAAATATTTAACTGAAATTGTAATGAAAGATATACAGATTTTTTAAAAAACGGATTGATATTTTTGGTCTGGGAATAACAAAAAATTAAAATTCAACCTCCTGATCATATATTTATTCAACTTTGTTCTATTATTTGTTTAAGATGTAGTTTTTGTTTAATATGTACCTTACCAGGTAAGATCAAGTCTTTTGTAGGGAGGCCTTGACTATCTTGCTCAAAGCAATCATCGCAGAGAACTTAAATTGGGGTCAACCTGCCCAACTCAGCTTCAGCTCCCACAATATCACTGTTACGGTTCAGAAAATGATACCTCAAAACCAACTGCTTTGAAATTCCAACTGAAAACCCCTGGGGATCCCAGATGCAGGAAGGGCTTTCCATGAAGTTTTCTTATTCACCTAAAGGGACACAATTGGCTTCAATCCTCTTACTGAAATATCATTAAACAAGGAAGATTAAGTTCATATCACAAAGAGGCTAAAAGTCAGACACCATGCCTAGAGCCCACAGGAACTTCGTCCCAAGCTATTGTTCAGTAAATCCACTTGTTTCCCCTAAAAATCACTTATTACCTCTCTGAAATTACCTACATCCCGCCTTCCTCTCCCCTTTGAAGAGAGTATTGGACCTCAACCATCTGGCCCTTCTGAGTTTTTGTTTTGCTTAGCTCCCCCATACATGTTCACTTTAATATTAGCATGCCTTTCCTCCTGTTAACTTATTACAAGTTTATTTCATCAGACAGAAAGATCAAACCTTCCAAGGATACATTTCAACTCTCCTGTGCTGTCTCAA